CCGATCCTAATGATGATGTCCCATCTCTCATCATTCCAAAAAGGCGTCAACAATTGGAAAACTCTGCTACACAGAGTCAGCAACAAAGAGAAAGTCGACAAGGTAATACTGTGGTATATATATTATGAAAGATAATTTTTCTGTCTTACTTATGATACGCATGAAATGCAATTATTCTTTTATCTTATACAGCTGCCGAAAAAGACAAACCGTACAGTTTGCACTTGAGGCGAAATCAGAATAACTCGTGCTTCATTGACGCTCCAATGGAGATGCTGTGGCATTCTGCTTTCCCCTTCATCGATATGCGCAACCAGCTCCTATAACTAATTTTAACCCGGTCGATAATGCGCTGCACTATACATACATGCATCATTCTAAGAACACCGAAAAAGGGTGTGGTTATGCAAGCATGTGGATCCGGGATTTCGCTTGGAGTGACATAGTATACATGGACAAGGGCTGGCACTCTGCAATTGAATTCTTTTTGCAGTTCATTTTGGGAAGAGCTTCGACGTTTATACAAGACCAGTTCTTCATCAAATGCCTACAAGTCATTTATTGTGAAGAGCACGGTGTATTTTATCCTGCCTATTCACACTACCTCAGGCCAGCGGTTTATATTGAGGACTTGGTCTTAAGCGCAGAAGACCCTATCGAGCTTGGGAAGCTACTCTACAACATTCACATCGAGGACGAAAGGCTCGCTCTACAAGGCTGTCCCGAACTAGGCTGTAGTTGCTCTGCAATGGAATATAATTTGCCAACAGAATTTCTGACATTCCTTATCTTTGCATACGACGAAAGAGAACGACATGGTCGGCCTACTATGTTTCCCTACCGGCTTATACTCACAGACGACGAAGGTGGAATATCGGAAGAATATGTATTGCATGCAAGGATTTATTCAATGTCATCAAGAGGAGCACATTTCTATACCGCGGCTATAATCGAATACTGAAACAAACGATTCCTCGTATGCATGGACAACTTGGCTGGTAATCAAGTGCAGATAATTGCATCTGATCCTGATTCTATTGAAAGCATATTAACAGAGAACAGAAAGCATACGATATCGATACTGTACAAGAAAGCCGACTAGCCAAAAGCACCGACGCCTTCATACACGCTTTATGAAGAGCATCATATGCAGGAGGTATTCGACCAAGTGGAACCAGGCAAGTATATAAGCTTTTTGCAGATATAAGCTCAACGACGTGTAGCTGATTTTTCTAATGGTTTTTAGTGATCGCCTGCTGGAGGTGCTCAACTCCTTTGCCTACACTATTACAAGCATCCTTGTCGCCCAATTATTTCAGCGTCTTTCCGCATTCGAAAGTAAAGAAACCTCATCGACAGAATGATGTTGCTTGGTGTAGACCACATCTCGACATTATGGTCTATGAGCCAATGCGCCTAGCGAACAAATTCCCTTTGGTCGAATTCGAGGCCTTGCCGGAACGGATCGCAAAATGGATAGACGAGCTCAAGGATTTGATAATGGATAAGCTGTTTCAAAGCTATTTCAAGAAGAAGATCATAGAATACTACAAAAATGCACCGAGCACCAGAGCTGCGAAAAATCCAATGTTAAAGATGAGCATTTTCAAAGACCATATGGTAAGTTTTGCAAAATTGAAATGTATACATAGTAGAACCTATGATATAATAACAATTATCTTTATATTTTATAGCCCAGATACTATGGGTTTAAAGGCAAAAAAATAATCGTAAAAACACTCCAAGACATGCTGGTACACGAGATCGATGCTGCGAATGAGCACATCAAACTGATGGATACCCCAGAATATATAGCCTCTGTTCTTGTTCCAGAGGTCAGTATGCACCTTATTAGGGAAGATCTTGAGACGGCCGGTGAGAGAGAAGAAGATTGTGATTGCACGATTAGGCTAGCAGAAGAATACAGTCCCCTCAGCAACATGGCGCTTTTCCACATGGAGCGTAGCGTCGACTATGGCTGTTTTAAATATCCAGATGACGATGACTCAGACAGTGAAGATTAGGGCGACTAAGAGCATCATATACTCTGATGAATAAAAAGTAGAACCATACATTTTCTTCTCCAACATATCCCTATACACTTTCATTTAATCTTCACTTTTTTTCTCTTTCTGTATATTCTTCTGTTAAAAAAAGAAAAAGAACAATGTTCAATAAAAGAAAATGTCAAACCTGCGTGGTAAATGGCCACCACTGGATATTATATCTCACTTACTGAACGTTACAAGGCAACATGATTATTTAGTCTATACAAAGAATTACACTTCTACTTTTTTTTGGTCTACGCAAGGAATTACAGATTGTAAGGAAAATCTGAAATTGGTGTGGGGAGAAGTTTGGTCTCCCAAAGGAGTGAAGATAGTAGAGGAGACATGTGTAACGGATGTTTAAACTCCTATATGTAAAAATTTGGTCTACACAAGGAAAAATTTGGTCACTCAAGCAGCTCTGTTATTTAGATGCCCATGATAGTACAATAGATTATTCAAAACCTGATATGTTATCACAAAAAAGATAGTCTTATAAATCAAAAACTTCTGGTTTAAGAACCCAAGTTTTATCAGATATTAATAATATGGTTATTTCTGTTTCAGATAGTGAGTTATGTGGTATTAGTTCAGATGGTGGCATGTTTTTAAATATGAAGATTTATAACAAAATTGATAAAAGGGATGTAATAGTAGTTGATAGTGGTTACACTTTATTTACAAAGCAATTTGAACAATTATGTGATAAGAAAAATATAAGTTTCTTTTATCCTATTAGAAAAGAACCAAATATAGAGTTAAGTAAGCAAGAAAAACACTTTAATGATGTATTTGGTAGTTTTAGATCATCTATTGAGAGCCAATTCTGTGAACTAGGTAATAAATCTAAGAGATTTAGTGATAACAATTCTACATTGAAAACAGATAATTATAAATATATAAGTTTACAATTAAAAGTAGCATTTTTACTACAGAATATACAATTATTTAGTGAAACTTTTAATATTATTACTCAAGACTATTATAAACTTTAATATAATGATAATTTTTAAAATTCCTAACTGATGAAAAGTTAATAGATATTGTATTAACTAATGAAATAAAACAGATGGAAAAAATAAAAGTCATATCTGAATTACAGTTAGATTTTTCAGATTTAGATTTAAATGATAATAGTGAAGAGATGATTATAGATGAAGATATAAATAAAAGTGATAATAATAATATTAAAAGTATAGAAATAGATGATATAGATTCTCCAGTATACAAGAATATAAATAAGAAGAAAAGAAAGAAAGGAAAAAGTGCTAGAAAAGTTAATATAAATTTAATATGTGATATAAATAAAAATAATAATTTTTTGAAACAGAAAAAGTAATGGATCATAAATTAAATGATAATAATGATTATTTATTTTATATTAAATGGAAAGATTATGATACAACAGATAATTCTTAGGTTAATGAGAATGATTTTAATGAGAAGGATTTATAAAAAGCTATTTTAAAGAACATAATATCAGATTTTAACTTTATTAATAATTTATATATATTATAATATAACATATATGCTATTTAATATTAAAAATACAGTGATTACATATAATAATATATTATAATCTATTAGTTTTCACCAAATTTGTAAATCGATGTTAATCTATACCTACTGATTAATCTACTAATTCGTCTTGGCTTCAGTCGATCCAGTACAACGCATACATCTCCTGCAGCTGCTCGCTCACTTCGATATCGACATCTGCGCGATCCTTGAACATCGACCAGGTATCCTGGACAATTTGCTGGCTATACTCCTGCCATTCCCTTTCCCAGCCGCTTTTAGCCTACCAAACAAACTTTAGGCTAGGATCCATTACAGTCGCGTATGCATAAACGTTAGATGTGTCAGTCTTGCCATATTATTTTTGCAGCTTAATGGGACCGGCTTCGGCTGCTTTACATAGATCGATAGGTATGGATGGACTGGTCTTATAGTCCTCAAGCCTGTCCATCAGATGGTTGTAGCAAAGGATTGTGAGGTTGATAGTGGCATGAGACTTGCTGCCAGACAACCTCTTGGTCACTTTTTCGAATGGTTCAAGTAGAGCACAGATTTGCTTCAGGTGCTCCAATTCTTGTGCAGTCAACCTATAGTGTACCAGCGCCTCAGTGCACATTGCGTTGTAGCGAGCCTCGACCGCGATAGCCCGCGTGATCATTTCAAATGTCGAATTCCAAGGAGTACGGATATCAGGAATGAGCCTAAGTTTGGGACAGCCTTCATTGTTCAAGGTATGCGCAAACTTCTGTAAGCGTTGTGGTAATGTTCTAAGGTAATAGATCAAAACCAATCACTTGAAAAATAGCTCAATGCATATTTAGCTGATCACTACCTTATCTTAGTAACGCCGCTTCGTAATTTGACCAGCACATTAGAGTTGGTTGGCACTTATTCTTCGTTGTCGTCAATGATTTCTTCTTCTGGTGCCTGTGCTGAAAGACCTACTCGCAGAATATCCTGAACTACTAAGTTAAGGACATGTCCAATGCAAGGGATATGATGGATGTGCTTTCGGAATGGCTTTGGTTTTGTAAGTTGTTGGTGAGCACATAGTTTTTGATAAGTATCTTAGCAAAGCAGCATAACCTCAGTAACGTACCAATCTTTCTCTTTCGCGCGTCGTTTGATGACGGTCATCATCTTGATCATATTCGATGCGTTGTCACTTATGATTGTGAAAAGTCTTGAACAAAGATCGAACTCATCTAAGACTTTTAGGAAAGCATCAGCAAGGTTCTCTCCAGTATGTGGACCTTCCAAAGGCTGGAACTAGGGATCCGCACGGTTCAGTTCGGTTTGGTTCTTAAAGGGAACCAAATCGAGCCATCTAAAGTAAGAACTGAACTGACCAAAACCGACGAGAACTGTAGAACCGAAGAATCGAACCGAAGAACCAAACCCATCATGTATATAAAAAAGGCAAAATTCAGTATCTTTTAATGAAAGCTGATGTGTGTGCTCAAATATCGCGGTATACTTGAATACTGCAGTAAAAAAGAATAGTTTATTATTGTACATTGAAGAGCGATCTCAAAATGAATAAGAGAAACAGGATGTAAGCATTCTTATACGATGCCGGTCATTGCATAGTTATAAGATTAAAGCACAGTTTTTACAAAAAAAGTGGAGCTTATAGTACTTACTTAGAGCGACTTAGTATTACTAGTACAATATGTTTTAGTAATATTGGGAGAATTGAACCACAACCGGCAGTATATACAGCTGCTGTGTCTCTACGTGTATAGTGTCTCATAAAAGGCAAAGGGTGAATAGGTAAGATAATTCTGTTATGAGCCCTAGAATGCGCAATCTCAAACAGAATGCACAAACTTGATAAAACTGATTGAGAAGCCATAATAAATCTAGTAAAGTAGTATGTCATAGAGAAAAATGCATTGTAGGTAGCAAAGAGTTTCAATCTATAACAATTAATTTTACTATAAACAGTAAATTAATTTTAGTTAAGGATTTCACTGTCAAGCTAGCCTACGTCCAAGTGTTCCTTGGCTAGAGGAGGGAAATGCTCACTACCGTTGCGCCGCTTATGGACCAAAAAAGTTTTTACAAAACTTTATTAATTTTTAAGAATTAGAAACATTTATAATAATTAAAAAATCTAAGAATTAAAATTCTTGATTTTTTTTAAAACTATTATAATATTTTTATATTCTTTTATTCTAAAGAATTAACTATAAATAATAATATAAGGATAATTAATAATTATCTCTTATATTTAATTGTTATAGATTAATTCCCAAAGTAGAGGAACAAGTAATGATGTGCGTCATAGGCGGAGAAAGCAAGCTGTTGTCAGAAGAAGTGTTTTTTTATTTTTTTCCTCTTCTCTTCTTTACTATTTTTCACTCCCTTCTGCTTTTGTAGCTTTTGTTAAGGTTTTTAATAAAGTATGACTTGCAAATACACTACTTCATGGTCTTTTCGGAATAACATTGTTCGTAACTTCCATTATAGCCTACTTTATACTAATTACCAAAATCGCTGATTGCAATCTTCTGCCTCTCGGTTCTTCGGTTCTATGAATACAGAACCGGTTCGGTTCCGGTTCAGTTCTTGGTAGGAACCGAATCATATTTTCTCAGTTTCGGTTCGGTTCGGTTCTGGTTCTATGGTTCTGATACGGATCCCTAACTGGAACCCTAGGCGAACTTCTTACAGAGTCCACATCGATCTGCACATTCAGTGTGCAATCACACCTAAGAATTCTTGCTAGAATGGGCTGGTCCAGCTGTCGACGGTACAAGAAATTTTTGGAACGCTCTTGAGTAAGGCAGCAGTTTCTTCTTTGGCTTTGACGTATTCTTCGTCCAGCTATTTCAGTGAAAGTTAAGTACATGTCTTATGTCTGAATCCTTGTTCAGCAAAACACAAAACGAAGTTTACCTTTCTCGACATACTGTCAGCATTCAAAAGCTTGATGGATTCTTGCATAGGTGCTGATAGCGCCATGTAGAATAACTCCTGCAATTCTTCGCTTCCGGCCAAAGTAAATGGGAGCTTGTTCTTAACCAAGAATTTGACGAATTGTCGTTGGAAGGCGCCCTTTTCAAATGTACACTTACGCTTAAATTCGACATGCTGGTCTATTGGGCCGGCTTGGCGCTTGTTCCCCTGAACGTGCGGACCAGTTGTTTGCGTGATTCCATGGACATTCTTCAGGTGCTTCACAAGCCCAGACGTATTACCTTGCTTTGCGTCATATATTTTGTTGCAACTAGGCCGCTGGCATATGATTTTCGGTTAACCATTGATAGAGACACACTTGCCGTATTCATGAGTGAGAATCTAGCTGCTTACTGTCGGCTTTTCTTTACCGCTAGTGCCAATGTTCGCATCATCGCTGGCAAGCTGTGTGATTTCTTGGTAGTCGATTATGGGAGCGGAATCATCGAAGCACTCTTCATCAGTGTGCGTTACATGCAAACCGACTGACGCTATGGAGACGTTGGATTTATTTGGAAGCTAGTGAAGGAGGAACGAAACTTAGGGGTCCTCATGGTTCGGTTCGGTTCGGTTCTTGAAGGGAACCGAACCGAACCGTGAAAAGGATGGAACCGAACCAAACCGAACCGTGAGGAACCGTGGAACCGTAGAACCGAACCGAGCTTATATATAAAAAGAGGAAAATTCAGTTCTTACATGAAAAGCTGATATAGCATCAAATTTTATAATAAATTTTAATGATTAGAGTAAAAGAAAGTTTATTTCAACATGTTGCAGTGAACGATGAGTCAAAATGAGCAGGGGGAACAATGTAAACGAGAAGCAATCAGCTATTAAAGAATCGCAGCATAAAGCCAAGAAAATAACTTATTGAGCTTAAAATATTTGAAGCATGATATCGTTTATTAGTAAAGTATGATATTAACTAGGTATGAATTGGGGGAAAACTATGCAGTAATAGACATGCTAATATGTGTCTGTGAATGTCTGCGCCGTGTATAATATCTAATGATAAAGGAAAGCAAAAACAAAAAAGAAAAGATTTCCAGGAATCTGAAATGCCCAATCTCAGACGAGATGCACAGACTTGATCTGAGCAAAAGAATGGGTTGAGGTACAAGTTGTACGTCATGAGCAAAGGCCGCCGTTAAACAAGCAGTACGTCACGAACAAAAACGCTAAACCTACAAGCAATACGTCATGAACAAAGATGTCGTGAGCGGCAAAGTGAAGTGTGAAGTTGTCTAAAGTTCCGTTTCGATCGGAGATGGTGTACTGACAAAGCAGTATCCTTTTTACTTTGGAGTTTTACTTACATACCACGGTACCAGTAGAAAGCAAGTTATATGCCAATTCACATGTAAAACATATATAGTGTTTTCTTCAAACTTAAAAGATGGGATATAATCCGAGGGTGAAATAGAAGCTCATGTTTAGCTTTGAGGAGAGGTTAGCAAAGATCTGTTTATGATAACTTGACGTCGGAAGAAGTGTGAAAATGATGTCATATTATTCAATCTGTCGGAAGATGTATGCTTAAGTAAGAGAAAGCGATGATATCATTTTCCCTATTTGGTTACCTGCCAGCGGTTATTGTATAGAAGCATTGATAGTTACAGCATTAACCCACCATGATGAGGCGAACTTACATGATATCATCGTTTTGCTAGATTGGAAGAAGTGTATTGTATATAGTAAAACGTGATGATATCATGGACCGGGACTCATTATCCAGAAACACACTAACATCGATGAGATCATCATAGTAATGATTAGCAGCAATCGGTTCATTGCTTTGGATAAAATTGAATGAAATATAAAGGGCTTTATTCTTCGCATCATCGATCCGTGTATCCTCTATATACTTGACACACTACTCTACCTCAAACACTTTACCGTTTTCATTCATCTCAAAATATGCCTTACCAAGCTGGTTCTTCTTCCCGCGATGCCCGTGCTGCTCTTCATGATGGGGTAATTATCAATCTGTGATCGGTCGTGCCGTGTTGTGTCGTGTTGTGTTGTGTTGTGTTGTATCGTGTTGTATCGCAAATCCCTAACATATATCGATGCTTGTAATATTTTACGTAAGGCGCAAGAAAATCCTGTCCGAGCTCCCACATTACCTCGTATGCCTTCTGCCATGTCGGTGGATAGTGTATCGCTTGCTGCTGAAGAGACGGATGGAGAGGTCATCACTGATTCCGAATCTGTTTCTATGTCCATCGTACGATCGCAAGGCAGTGCTGCTACCAAGGAGAAAAGCTGGGTGATCAAGAACAAGTTAGGCGAGCGCTATGATGACGACAATGGCAAGCCGCGCATCCGATGTCTAGTTGCAAACTGTGGCAAGACGTTTGCATCCGAACAAGGCTCCACGTCCGCCGTTATCAAGCACTTGAACAAGGTCGATAATGTCACCAAGGAACATGGTCCACATACCGGAACTAAGCGTGCTGGCGGTCCACTTGACTCGTTTGTACAATCGAAACGTGCCCGTGTATTCACTGCCGAACTATTCATCAAGGCGTTCATCAAATTTATCGTAAAAAGCAAGTTACCATTTACCATGGCTGAAAATGATGAATTGCAAGAACTTTTGGAAATCGCGCAATCTGCAAGTGACATGGAAATGGTGAAGCTTCCAAGTGCCGATACTATCACAAGAAAGGTAAAGAAATTAGTGATTTTGTTTTTTTTAGTTATGCACCATCAAAAAGAAAATAATTCTAATATCCTATTCCTTTGAATTTACCTTTAGACCATTGAAGAGTACAAGCTTTACAAAGCCAAGTTACGTTCCTTATTGGATACGCTTCCTACGATTTCGTGCACACTCGACGGTTGGACCAGCCCATACAACGATGCCTTCTTAACTGTTACTGGGCACTGGATCTCGCAAACGACCTGGAAAATGCATGAAGTTATCCTTGGCTCTGTGCCACTGAACGGACCCCACTCGGCGGAAAACTTGGCCAATGCTTTCATAGGTGTCTTGCACGACTTCGGCTTAGGACCCAAGTTGTTCACGATTACGACGGATAATGCCTCCAACATGAAAAAAATGGCCCGTGTCATCGAAGAGCACGGTAACGAGAACGGATGGTAAGCACTCAAAATTAATATAGCAATGCATAATGTATAGTATAGCCTATTTGTAAACTTACATAATACCATTATAACTGTAGGTCGTTCCGCGCTGATAAGCATCATATACCCTGCCTTGGTCATGTGCTTAACTTGGCTGTCCAGGATATTCTGCGTTGGGGATTGGAACTAGTAACGAACGATGTTTGTGCCGATACCGACGCCGATGATCTAGAAGGAGGGAACGATGGCGATGTCGATGCAACATACGAGGTCAATGCTGAGCAAGTTTTGGAAGAGTAAGAAATAGAAGCGATGAGCGTACTTATCAAGCTGCGCAAAGGAATTACGAAGATTCGGTAAGTTATCACTATCATCAAACAGCCGTTTTTACTACTTGAGATATTCATTAGCACTATGTACTCATCACGCTGTTTAATGACATAGTTCCTCACCCCAACGCTCGGAGAAGTTCATGCGCCAGCAGCAAACTGATTGTTGTACCCAGCTCATCCTCCAACTCGATGTGCGCACCCGCTGGAACTCCACGTACGAGATGCTTGCCCGTGCTTCCTTACTGCGCGAACCGTACAATGTGATGTGCACCAATAGCACCAACGACGAGCTCCTCCCATACATCCTAACGCAAGAAGAGTGGAAGCGAGTTGACCAGCTGAGGGAAATGCTGAAGCCATTTTACGAGTCCACCTTGGACCTCTCAGCAAGTACGAGCCACGCCACCATCAATGTCGCCATTGCACACTACAACAAGCTCATGGATTGCCTGGAAGACGTCGATAACAAGGAATATCCACGAGAATTGAAACGAGCAGCAAGACGCGGCCTGGAAAAGCTTCGAAAATACTACTGCAAGGTCGATGACACGGACGTATACGCCATTGCAACGGCGATGGATCCTCGGATGAAGTTTTCTTAGTGGCGCCAAGCTGGATGGGAACCCGAGTACCAAGTCATGAGCCAAAATATGGTGCACCGAGCCTGGGCTGCATTCCCCAAGGACGTTGCTATGCGGCCGGAGGTGAATGAAGAGGTGCAAAAGCTGTACGATCTATACAGAACATCAACGAGCGGCAACGAATTGGACGATTACTTGGAAGAACGGTTAAGAAGACCAGAACCAAGCCAGGAGGGGCAAGGATCGCCGGTCTTGAACTACTGGAAATCCCAGCCACAGTGGCCCAATTTGGCAGCAATGGCAGCGCAGTACTTGGCAGTTCCGGTCACTTCAGCACCCTCAGAACGGTGCTTTTCACGAAGTCGACTGTTACTGCCGTACACGCGCAATCGCCTCCAACCGG